CCCACTTCATCGGATGCATGCACCCACGAAAGCTTATGCTCCAATACATCTGTTAGTCTTAAAGGTGCCACAGGACTCCCTGTTGCTTTTTACAGATCCAGACTAACACGGCTACCCCTCTGATACCTGGATGAATAGCGGACAGTCATAGTAGAAGGTATTATATTACGCTAACAATGCCATCTACTGGATTTAATGGAAACTTTTTCCTAACAAATTATTTTTACATTTATTTCAGTGAAGCTCACTGTACATACTTAGCTTGTGACAGGGATTTCCAAATGAATAAAGACAATTTCTTCAGAAATCCAAGACATTCTCTTTTTTCTAAAATAAACATATGGATTTTACTCAAACAGTTACAAGGGATTCATGTGGTAAAAGAACACTATAAAAATTAGACATTAGCATAAGCAGCTAACATCTCACCAGGATTTTGGGAATCATGTCTGTCCCTAAGTTCTTTGGAATCTTCTCTATCAGCTTTTGAAACATGTTGTGACTCTTCTTCAGCTCTCAATATATCTGAAAAATTAAGATGGCTTTTATCTTCTTCAATTTCTTTTTCTCCATCTTCTTCTCCGTCAAATGGAGAAGAATAATGCTCCAGACTACTATCCGTGGTCTCGCTCTCTTCATCAGCACTACTCTCACTCTCACTCCCATTCACACTCCCATCTTCCTCAGGATCAGTTTGTGCAGAAGCCATCAGACTTTCTTTCTGGTCTCTAAAAATAAAAATGTATTTAATCACAAATAATTAATTTTCAGTAACTATGGTATGCTCTTAGACTTGGTTCATTAAATTGTCCACCTTTCTATTAGAGGTGGCTGGAAAATTTCCATCAAATAAAAAAGAAAACATTTTGTGAATATCCCCGTGAGAATTTTTTCCATTTTCCAACAAACTCTACTCACTATTACTTATATTCTGCAATAATTACTCAATATTTTCATATAATTCAGTTTCCTAAAATTTGTCAAATCTTTTGTCTTCTAACATCAATCTAGTCATCCTTATTCAACAAGAAAAAAATTGTGTGGCCCTTCAATGGGTGAACAAAATGGGAAGGGGAGGAAAGGTGCAAGGAACCTCTTCTAATCTTGCACCTTTTAAAGATGTGCTGCAGTAGCTTTTCTTCTCCAGAGTGCCAGGGAACTAGGAGGCAATGTCCTCAGGCACAATATCCCACAAAACTGTTGCTGGGATGATTAATCTCTATATTGCCCTCCACAAAGGACCATGGCTTATTCACCTAAGGAAATATGGAGAAAAATAAAGCACCAAATCTTGCCTGTCTCCCACTGCAGTCAATGGGATCAGCTATGTCAAATGTACATCCAGAATAAGGGAAAGGTGGTTCTGCACCATCTTTCAGCTTTTTCAATCCTGTGCTGGTCAGGGACCATCGGGGCTCTGCATAAGAGCAGGGGTCTGCCTACATGCACTTCTTTGCAGGATTGGGGTCTTATCAACACAAATAGCTTTAAATTACTAAAACTCTCATTGTCTTTAATGGAACTACTTGTATGAGTAAGGACTGCTCCTATAAATAAGGGTTCGCAGAATATCTTCCAATTCATCCTACGCTGACACATCAGCATAGCCAACATCTCAGTGATTACATTTCATTCACACACACCAAAGACTTATCCAGCCCCATCCTATCTTACATAATTCCCTATTGACCTATCTTAATATTTATTTTAATTTTTGAAGGTTGTTACCAGAATAAGTTCCACACTACAAATATAGTAAGGAGAATATGTGGCACATTTATTACTGCAAACATTTAATGATAATACTTTTATACAAGAAAATATAACTTACAAATAAAATGCAAGGCTAACTCCAGTTATAAGAAGGAGAAGAAGAAAGAGGACAGCCAACATTTTCAATAATTGTGAAAATATAACACACTGAGATCCAGTAGCATAAGTGATGGATTCAGTGTCTGTCATATATGGTTCTCAGATAGCGGAGTACTGTATTATAAGGTTTTTTGGATTTGGTGTAGTGAATTTCTCCACAGCAAAAGAATATCACACCTTATTGATACCTAATGTGGGAGTTATTATTTTCTGATAGATGTATTTAAATTGATAAAAATAACTATAGATGCCCATCCTACTTTACAGGGTTGAAATTCACCTAGCAGGTAGGCACAAGGTATGGACCCCACTTGTTATGTGTTTGTTCAGTGTCCGCAATTTTAAAAAATTGATATCACTGTCTCTTTTATTTTAGTTACCAAAATAAAACAAAAGTGAAAGGAAAATAATCTTACAAATAATGGTTAGTAAATATAAATTTCATTTATAATGGTTTTGCATTAATAAAGCTCCCATCTCAAGACAAGATGCTCAGGGCTTCAAATAAACAATCAAATACAAGAAAACAGTACTTTCAAAACTACATGAAAGATAAAAGCAAATAAAACATATTGTATACAGTATTTGCATTGTTACAGCTATTTTAAAAATATCATACATAAGTCAAGTACTATATCTTATGTGGTTATCATAACATTAAACTTGAACTTTAATAGCTATAATCTGTACATAGAATTTGTACTGTTATAACTACTTTTAAGATATCCAAGTCAAGGACTACATTTTTATGTGGTGGTTATCAATTTTAAATATGAACTTTAACACTCATCATCTTTAGATGTACAAAGTTCATAACTAAAGAGCATAATAAAAGGCAGAAAGTAGATGAAAAGCTTTGATTTTTTTTCTTTTTTTTCATTTATGTGGAAAAGCTGTTTTTAGTGATCTTTTAAAAAAATCTTTATTATCGCCCTCTGAGGACTGATCCTCAATTCTTTGCACACCAAACTCCCACTGACTTTGCTGGAAGAACATAGGTCCCGATTCAGCAAAGCACTTAAATAAATGCATGAGTACATGAGTAGTCCCACTAACTTCAGAAAGTTTAAATACTTTGCTGATTTTTTTTTCTTACATGCAACCTTTCCTGCAAATTTCATTGTTTGTTTGTACTGTGCCTAGCACAATGGGGCCCCCATTTTGTCTAGGACTTTGTGGGCTACTGAAATACAAAATACTAGTAATTGCCCACTGAACTATGGTAACTGAGAGCAAAGCATACAATCATAGAATCATAGGATAATAGGACTGGAAGGGACCTCAAAAGGTCATCTAGTCCAGTCCCCATAACTCATGGCAGGACTAAGTATTATCAAGATCATCCCTGACAGGTGTTTGTCTAACCTGCTCTTAAAAATCTCCAATGATGGAGATTCCACAACCTCCCTAGCCACTTTATTCCAGTGCTTAACCACCCGACAGGAAATTTTTCCTAATGCCCAACCTAAACCACCCTTGCTGCAATTCAAGCCCATTGCTTTTTGTCCTATCCTCAGAGGTTAAGAAGAACAATTTTTCTCCCTCCTCCTTGTAACAATCTTTTATATACACCTCTACCCCGATATAACGCTGTCCTCGGAAGCCAAAAAATTATAGGTTATAGGTGAAAATGCATTATATCAAACTTGCTTTGATCCGCCGGAGCACGCCCCCCCCCCCCCGCCTCTCCCCCGGAGCGCTGCTTTACCACGTTATATTCGAATTCGTGTTATATTGGGTCGCGTTATTTCGCGGTAGAGGTGTGCTTGAAAACTGTTCTCATGTCCCTTCGCCATCTTCTCTTTTCCAGACTAAACAAACCCAATTTTGTCAATCTTCCCTCATAAGTCATGTTTTCTAGACATTTAATCATTTTTGTTGTGCTTCTCTGGACTTTCTCCAATTTGTCCACATCTTTCCTGAAATGTGGTGCCCAGAACTGGACACAATACTCCAGTTGAGGCCTAGTCAGTAGAGCGGAAGAATTACTTCTCGTGTCTTGCTTACAATACTCCTGCTAATACATCCCAGAATGATGTTCGCTTTGTTTGCAACAGTGTTACACTGTTGACCCATATTTAGCTTGTGGTCCACTATGACCTCTAGATCCCTTTCCACAGTATTCCTTCCTAGGCAGTCGTTTCCCATTTTGCATGTGTGCAACTGATTGTTCCTTCCTAAGTGAAGTACTTTGCATTTGTCCTTATTGAGTTTCTTCCTGTTTACTTCAGACTATTTCTCCAGTTTGTCCAGATCATTTTGAATGTTAACCCTATACTCCGAAGAACTTACAACCCCTCCCAGCTTGGTATCATGCACAAACTTTATAAATGTATTCTCTATGACATTATCTACATCATTGATGAATATATTGAAAAGAACTGGACCCAAAACTGATCCCTGCTGGACCCCACTCCTTATGCCCTTCCAGCGTGACTGTGAACCACTGATAACTACTCTCTGGGAATGGTTTTCCAACAGTTATGCACCCACCTTATAGTAGCTCCATTTGGTTTCCCTAGTTTTTTTATGAGAAGGTCATGCAAGTATCAAAAGCTTTGCTAAAGTCAAGATATAGCATGTCTACTGCTTCCCTCTATCCACAGGGCTTTTTACTCTGTCCAAGAAAGCTATCAGGTTGGTTTGACAAGATTTGTTCTTGACAAATTCATGCTGACTGTTACTTATTACCTTAAGCAAATTGATTGCTTAATTATTTGCTCCATTATCTTTCTGGGTACTGAAGTTAAGCTGACTGGTCTGTAATTGCCCGGATTGTCCTTATTTCCCTTTTTATAGCTAGGCATTATATTTGCCCTTTTCTAGTCTTCTGGAATCTCTCCTGTCTTCCATGACTTTTCAAAGATAATTGCTAATAGTTCAGATATCTCATCAGTCAGCTCCTTGAGTATTCTAGGATGCATTTCATTAGGCCCTGGTGACTTGAAGACATCTAACTTGTCTTCATAATTTTTAACTTGTTCTTTCCCTATTTTAGCCTCTGATCCTATCTCATTTTCACTGGCATTCACTATGTTAGACGTCCAAGCACTATTAACCTTCTTGGTGAAAACCAAAACAAAGAATATTCATCTACTCCACAAAACATTTTGACTCCATATATGTGGTCTTTTATGTATATGTCTTTAGACTGTGGGCCCACCTCCTGTTTACTCAGGAAAAACTCCTTTTGACTTGACAGTCAAATTTTGCCTGAGTATGGCATGGAGGACTGCACCCTGCACCAAGCCTTCTGAACAGGGACCACCCACTATTAAGCACCCATCTACTCACTATTCTGTCTAACTGAAAAATGATACCACACAGAGAGATTGGTGTACATCTATAAAGTTTAGCATCATGGAGCTAAAAGAATACATTTCACTGAGTATTTGTTTAAAGTGGAATAAATATAAAATTAAAAAGATGATATACAGTAATGAATAATACAGTATGACCTCAGAGTTACAAACACTAGAGTTACGAACTGACCAGTCAACCACACACCTCATTTGGAACCAGAAGTATGCAATCAGGCAGCAGAGACAAAACAAACAACGAACCAACCCCCCCCCCCCCCCCAAAAACCAAATACTGTATAGTCAGTACTGTGTTAAACGTAAGCTACTTAAAAATAAAGGGAAAGTTTAAAAAAGATTTAAAAAGGTAAGGAAACTTTCTGTGCTTGTTTCATTAAAATTAAGATGGTTAAAAGCTGCATTTTTCTTTTTCATAGTAAAGTTCAAAGCTGTATTAAGTCAATGTTCAGTTGTAAACTTTTGAAAGAATAACCATAAGGTTTTGTTCACAGTTACAAACTTTTCAGAGTTACAAACAACCTCCATTCCTGAGGTGTTTGTAACTCTGAGGTTCTACTGTAGTTTACAAATATTCCATTATGGAAAGAAGTAGTACCAAATACAGCATTGCCTGCTTGCAGATTCAAGAAACATATAACACCACGGTGTAATCTAAAAGGGGGGGGGAAAACGATTTCAAACAAATAAACAAATAAACGGTACTAATAAACTTCATATAAATAATTATCTGGACTTTTTCACAAATATAAGGTAGAAAATCAAGTGGGGTCAAATAAATGTTGCATCTAGTCAACTTCAGCAAGCTTGGCAGCCTATGCATGCCAACTAGATGAGTTTGCAGAGTACCTATTGCTCTCTTAAACAAACTGCACTGAAAACAAACCAGGATATTAGGCATCGTTGTCTAATATCGTAAATAACGTCAGCCCTGACCTTCCAAAACAAAAGGCCCCTCTGTACACCCCGGGCGGGGTCTGCCTTTTACAGCGCTGAGGATGCTGCTAAACGCAACTTTAAAGAGTGAGCCACCGTGGCCCACTAATCGCAGCCCCTCTTTCAGCAAAGGCACGGGAGAGGCGAGCCCCGCCTGCCCCATGTGAGGAGCAGCAGCTGAGAATGGGCAGCGGCCGGCTCAGTTTGTGCCCAGCACCCCTCCATCGCCAGCCCGAGCTCAGGCGAGCGGTCCTGGCACCCCCGCCTCAGTCAGAGACAGGTGCGGGCATCCCCTCCCCGAGCGCAGGAGGCAGGTCCCGGCGCCCCCCGGCTCAGCCCCCGGCACAGGTCCTGCCTCTCTCAGCTGCGCTCTGTCTCCCGCCTCGCGCCCACTCCTTACACTTCTTTCTCCCCGCGACAAGCGGCTGAGGACGCGGCGAGCCCGGGCAGGGCGAACGAGCGCTCTTTATAGCCACTGCTGTCGCCGCCCCCACCGAGCTGCCGCGGCCTTTGCTCCGACTCCTCTGGAAAGCACTCGGTCCGCTGACGCCGCTCCCTGCAGCTGCAGGCGCCCGCCCCGCCCTGGGAAAGCCCGCACGAGCCCCCAACTCCCCCAGCCTTGGGCAGACTCTGAACTCAGACCCAGGGCTGAGATGCTGAGCCGCTCTCCCTTTCTTTACCACAGCAGGTGGAATCAGAGCCGGATCCCCCGGACCTGCCTGGGCGTCAAAACTTGGACCAAAATTGTGCCTTATGGTTCTGTTTCTATAATATGCCCAAACAAAACATCAGAGCCCAATATTATCCGAAGTCTTGGTCCGCAGTGCTGAGCCTCATGGACCAACCTATAGATTTCATGAAGTGAGTGAGTATGGTGCGTGTAAATGGCTATGTGGATTAGATAGTAGGCCTGTACGTTGCAGCTATTCCTCCACATTTCTATAATAGGCCAAACCAAAACACTGAATCCTGATTTCAGCGTGTTTCTGGTTCAGAATCTGAATTTTACGGCTCCAGACCATGTCTACCTGCCAACATTTGAGATAGGGAAATGGTGACAATTGGGGAGAAAAAACAAGAGCATGTATTTTTAATGTCATTGAAAGAGAAGACAAGCTTTCTGAAGAAAAGAGTTTAAAAAAGTATTTTTGTAACTCATATTGATTGTCACGCCTAAATACAGTAGCAACATTTAGCATATATGAGTTAAGAATTGTGGGGAAATTGCATGTCATGGAGGAACACTCTCTACACCTAAACTTTCTAAGTAATGCATGGTCTCACAGCTCCCAAGAAAAGGAAAAGAATCATGCAACTAAGGAACATCAGTCTTTCAAGCACTGATTTGGTGCCAATATAGAGATAGTGTTAGGCTCTACCCATTATGAGTTAGATAGTGTGCCCGCAAGGGGGGCCATGATACCAGCGAAAGAATGACACTCAGGCTTGAGAGTAAAAAGAAAGGCTTTACGGAAGGAAGAACTTACACTCCAAGCTGCACGGGGAGTCCCAGGGTGCACAGAGGGGCTGCAGGGAACTCTGACCATTCAGGACAGCTGGCCAGGCAGGACTGCACTGAAGGGAGTCCACTGCAATGCTATATCCCCCCGTGCTTATCTCAAGATTACATGGGGTCAACAGCTGGCTACATTCATTGCATTCATAAATCATACATATTATATAAGCTGACTTGTTTACAGGACAAAAAAATGCTGAACTATACTAAACTACTTTTTGGCAGGATCTGCCAGACAAGGTTCATTGCACGGCCTTCAACTGCACAGCCTGCATCTTCCGCTCTCATTCAATCACATACTCGGTCCTCCACTTAGCTCCTCGCCAATTTTCCGCAACCTTTCCCCTACAGATAGTGATATCCTTCCACATATTGAATGGAATCTTACACCTATAAGGTACTGTTCAACATGTGGAAGGATATCACGATATGACCCTATAGAAATAAGGGCCGACTACAAAATTCAGGTCCAGATTGGGGTTCAGATTAAGAATCACCCCAGATCTGGGTGATTTTCAGTAGTAGAGTCTGGTTTTGGACCACCTCTATTACTAGTGCTATTAATTATTCTTCTGTGCCCTAGTAAAGATAGATAAGGACCCTGCCTTGAATAGTTTATAGTTATGTGAGTGAAGATAGCAAACAGTAGAGAAGTAATGAGGGAAGGAAGGACAAAGGTTGTAGCAATTAGATCATGGAATTTCATGGTTTTAGTCCTGCACTCTTCCTGATAGTTCAATTAAAAGTACTTTTATATAATATATTAATTATTATTGACTCATGTATTGGGATTATTGCCAAAAGGTTAGTCCTAAGGAAAAAATTTATTCCTAGTTGGCAGGTATGCCCACCTCAAGTCCTCTCCGGGTCCTGCCCAACCAGACTTTTACCTCAAAGGAAGTATTTTCTTAATAAGAATTCTCCCAAGCAGAAGTCTTTTCAGGGTTTCTGAAAACAGCTTTTTCTATGTAATGTAACTTGCAGCCTAAAACACAGAGTCTGCAGCTCTATGAAGGCATCAGGAGCCAGAGGGAGTAGTGTTGCAAGTGCCATGAAGCGTTCCTCAGAGATAGTCTGGGAGAATGCCGGAGGAGCCCCTCCGACGACCCGGGACCAGGATGCTGATCGCTGCCCTGCTGGGAGGGATGCCGCCGGAGGAGCCCCCCGACGACCCGGGACCAGGATGCTGATCGCTGCCCCACTGGGAGGGATGCCGCTGGAGGAGCCCCCACCCCCGACAACCCGGGACCAGGTTGCTGACCACCACCCTGCTGCTTCAGAGAAGGATACTTCAGAAGGAACCACCTCCTCAACCCCAGACCCGGAAACCACTTACCACCAGCCTATCCGGAGGAGGGCCGCTCAAAGGGGAATGCACTCCAGAGCCCTGGATCTCGATGCCGCATGCTGTCCTTCTGGGCAAAGAGACATCGTGGCCAGTGAGTCCAGCACCCCCCCAAGAGCGACTTCACCTACTGAAGCTTCTCTACCAGAACCAGAGGAATCACCTGCCAACTCGGCAGGCACAACAGAAGTCCGCCCCACAGAGGGTGAGGCAGGGGAAGACAACTGCATCTACCTCCAGTACCCGCTCCCTACAGGTCTCCTCCTCTGCCCCTTCTGCCTCCCTGTCCATGGAGTCCAGACCCTCGGGGCCCTCAGCAAACACATTCGTAAAACTTACAACAAACAGATTGCTTTCCACTGTAGCCGCTGCAATGCACCATTCGAGACTCAAAAGAAATGCAAGTCCCATCACGCCACATGCAAGGGACCCTTCACAACCACGAAGGTGAACCCCACTGACATCCTGTGGGTTCCAACCCCAAACCCAACCGATGGTCCGGCTTCAGCACCCCAGCCAGCATCCCCAGAGTCACAGCAAGTAAGGGGGGACCAACCGCCAACCGAGGGAAGCGCAACCCCCGTCTCGAAGACTGACGATGCCACCAAAAGGACCAGTCCCGCCTCCAGAATCCCCACGCTGGACCCTGCTGTGAGGGGGATCACCGCCACCTCCCAGGTCAACGACCTCACCAGATGCCTCAGCGACCTCATAAAAACCATCCGGCACAACACAGATACAAGACGGTGCAGCACTCCCCCACAGGTCACCTCATGCCGCCCTGCTGTAGGAGCAACTAGCATTGTCCCCCAGGCCGCATGGTGAGACCCAGCCAGCGGAGGAGCCTCCCGCAGCCCCCGGATCCCACGGCCGGACCCTGCCCCCGGGAGACCCAACACCTCCTCCAAGATTACCCAATGAGCCTCCGACCGCCAAAAACCCCAGGCCCCACCAAAGACCCCCCAGCCAGATACCACCCTCAGAAGAACCAGAACCATCCCCAGCGCTTCCAAACACGACCGCGCCCCCACAAAGCCCAACACTGGTGTTTCCAGAACTCCATTCCCTCCTGGAAGATCCAGCGCTACCTCGGAGACACCGAGAGCTGCCCCCCCCCACCGCACCAGGACCCCCACCTCAAGACCCACCTGAACACTGCCCCCCAGTCCGAGGGACAACCAGGCCACAGACTGTCTCTGCAGCACCTGAACCCGGAGAGACAACGCAGCAGGAGGAACGACGGCCACGAGCGAGGGTCCCCACGCCGTGGCAATCCGCCTGGATGGAGGAGCTGGCAAAGGCTGAGGACTTCGAGACCTTCGACACCCTGATGGACAGACTGACCGCAGAACTGTCTGCGGAAATTACAGCCAGAAGGAGGGAACACCAGGAGGCCTCACGGGCCATGCGCAGATTCCCTGTGCCAACCCATAACAACACTGCCAGAGAAGGCAGGAGAGGGGACGTTGGCCGCCGCTACAATCCGGCGGCTGCATCCTGTATTCAGAAACTATACAGGACGAACCGGACGAAAGCCATGAGGGAGATCCTCGATGGGGCCTCCTCCTACTGTGCCATCCAGCCTGAGAGACTCTACTCCTACTTCAAGGATGTGTTTGACCACGAGGCCCAGATCAACTTGCAACGCCCAGAGTGCCTTCTCCTGCTACCCCAGATCGACCTCACAGATAAACTGGAGCGAGATTTTTTCCCGCAGGAGGTGCAGGCGAGACTGACAAGGACCAAAAATACTGCCCCTGGAAAAGATGGCATCCGCTACCACCTGCTGAAGAAGCGAGACCCCGGCTGCCTGATGCTCGCTGCCATCTTCACCAAATGCAAGTAGTTTCATCGCATTCCCTGCTCCTGAAAAAGTCCATGACCGTGCTCATCCACAAAAAAGGCAAGCGAGACGACCCTGGCAACTGGAGGCCCATCTTCCTCTGCTCCACCATCTACAAGCTGTATGCCAGCTGCCTCGCGGCAAAGATCACAGACTGGTCAGTGTGCGGGGGTGCTGTCAGCTCAATACAGAAGGGTTTCATGTCCTGCGAGGGATGCTACGAGCACAACTTCCTCCTTCAGACCACCATCCAGGAAGCCAGGAGGTCCAAGAGGCAGTGCACCGTAGCATGGCTTGACATGACCAACGCCTTCAGGTCCATACCCCAGCATCACATCTTTGCCACCTTGGGAGAGTTCGGGATGCCAGAAACCTTCATCCAGATCCTCTGGGACCTCTACAAGGACTGCTCCACCACCATCCGCACCACGGACGGAGAGATGGACACCATCCCCATCTGCGACGGTGTGAAACAAGGGTGCCCCCTCAGCCCCATCATTTTCAACCTAGCCATGGAACCGCTCATCCGAGCCATCTCCAGCAGCCCAACCACCTCCGACCTGCACGGCAAGAAAATCAGCATTCTGGCCTACGCGGATGATCTGGCCCTGGTCGCTGACAGCTCAGAAAGCCTCCAGCAAATGCTCAACGTCACCAGCCAAGCCGCCGAGTGGATTGGCCTCCGCTTCAACCCCAACAAGTGTGCTTCCCTCCACGTCGACGGTAGCGACAGGGCGCTGGTCCGGCCATCACGATTCCTGGTCCAGGGCGAGCCCATGGCCTCCCTCAAAGAGGGAGAGGTATACCAACATCTCGGCACACCCACAGGAGTCCGCGTC